GAACCTGGGCCGCACCCATGCCAGGCGAACACGCTACCACTTGAGCCACATCCCCAGCCTGAGAATTTTTTTTAATATTTATTTTTTAATTTTCAGTGGACACAACATCTTTATTTTTTTATTTTTATGTGGTGCTGAGGATGGAACCCAGCGCCCTGTGCATGCCAGGCGAGCACGTTACTGCTTGAGCCACATTCCCAGCCCCAGCTTTGATTTATTGTACAGGAAGAAATCCAAAGATTTACAGATATTGGAATGTTAGGGTGGGGTTTCTCATTTAAAATCTACTCACTGGGGTTAAGAACTGTTCAGGAAATTGAACTTTTCAGGTAGTTCTACATTGGATTTTTTCATTTGGGTTTCATTTTTTTCTTTTTCTTTTTTTTGGAAATTAATGTTTAAAATACCTACATACAACTCTTAAAATAGCACAAAAACACTAACTGGCTTATTAGTTAACCTAAGTAGTGGTGTCACCTTCTTCAATCATCATTTTTGCAAAAATCTTATTGTACAGTAGGTGTTCAATGATTATGATCCAAAGTTGAATGGACCATATAGCAAATATCCTATCAGTCTTTGACAGTTTGAGAAAGAGAAGTAGTAGTATACTCTAAGTAACTTTATGCTATACAATGAATAAAGCAGAAAAACACATATATACATAGAAGGCTTTGGGGTAACTCACTAATTTAGTGTTCATCTATCTGGAAAAGTATTTTAAAATAGAATTTTTCAGTCTTAAAAATCAAAGGATGAATGAATATAATCCATCAAAAAAGATTACGTACCTCACTCAGCATTCTTAGGAACTACAAGAAAAAGACACAGCTTAAATATGATTCTTACCTTTTATAGAAGTGTAAATTAGTTATGGAGTTAAGACAAGTAACCATAATGAAAACTAAGATATCATTTGTTAAATACATGGTACAATCATTTGCTGCTATGATCACTTTTCAAAGGTATCACATAAAAACCTATACTTTTGGTCACTCTTTTTACTTGTATCTTCAGGAGTTCTACTATTTTGTTTGGCACTGGTGTGTAAAGTAATTCAGTAAAAAAGCTAGAAGAGGGGTGGGGATGTAGCTCAGTTGGTAGAGTGCTTGCCTCACATGCATGAGCCTTTTTTTTTTTTAAAAAAAAAAACAACATTATTTTTAGTTGTAATTGGACACAATACCTTTATTTTGTTTACTTTTATGACATGCTGAGGATTCAATCCCCAGAACCACACAAACACACACACACACACACACACACACACACACACACACACACACACACACACACACGCAGCAGCAGCTAGAAGAAAGAAGGAAAGAGCTTTACCTACTTTTTTTTTTTTAAATGTGCTATAAGCATCAGTAATTCAAGAAACAGAAGAGACACAAGGCAACACAATCAGTTCATTTGGATAGTTTTCTTTTTCTTCAAGGCTATCTTTTTATTTTTTAAGAGAGAGAATTTAATATTTATTTATTTTTTAGTTTTCTGTGGACACAACATCTTTGTATGTGGTGCTGAGATCAAACCTGGGCTGCATGCATGCCAGGCGATCACGCTACTGCTTGAGCCACATCCCCAGCCCAAGGCTACCTTTTAAAAAAAAAATTTATTTTTTAGTTGTAGTTGGACACAATACCTTTATTTTGTTTATTTTTATGAGATGCTGAGGATCAAACCCAGGGCCTCGCACATGCTAGGCAAGTGCTCTACCACTGAGCCACAACCCCAGCCTCTCTTCAAGGCTAGCTTGATTTTGAAGGAGACTGGAACGGAAACAGGCAGAGGAAAAATAAAATTAACAAAAGAAAAAAATTATAGAAATTCCCATATTTGAAATCCTCTAAATGAGACTTCAGATGATTAAAAGCTATAATTTTTCCATCTGTAATGAAAAGTTTCAACTACAAAAGCTTGTAAAGTTCAAGTTTCCAGAATACATTGAAATTAGAGACCAAGAAAAGAAAAAGTAGAACCATCACAAACTTCCTTTGCAGGGAAACTCCTCCTCTTTATATTATCACTGTGGCCTATGGAAAAATAAGCTTGCAATATCAATTGCCCGCTGAGGAAGAACTTCTCTTTTTGCATATGTCTGACAGATGACTTCATAGCTGAAACAGTGGCATTACCACATGCCCAAAAAGCAAGAAAGCTATCTTGAACCCACCTGTACTCACAAACAGAAGAAACCTAAAAGTTACACAGATCTGTGCTCCAAACTTCCCAGTCTTTGACTGGACAGATGTTAGCTGGCCCAATCTACTAGGAAGGTATTCTGGAAGAGATAAATTGGGAGTTTATTCAGGTTGTACCTATCTATTCCTGTCTGGTTTTATACTCAATAAAATTGAAGTTTTCCTTCTTTTCTCTCTCTCTTTTTGGTGCTGGGGCTTTGTGCATAGAAGGCAAGCCCTCTACCAACTGAGCTATATCCCATTTTCCTTCTTTTCTCTGAATCTACTTTTCAACTGGTTATACTAGAAGGAGGGATAAATAATTAAGCACCCTCATATTCCAACATCATGTAAAGGTTCTGTTTGTTAGCTTTAGTTATATAAATGTGAGTCACATAAATCACTCCCTGCCAAAAGACCTTTCAAATTTAAAAAGATAAAACAAAATTATAAATCACAGCATCTTAGATTTGAGAGAAATAGAGGATCAATTTAATTCACAGATGGGCAAGCACACAGAAACAGAAAAAAGCTACATTATTTATTATCATTAATAAATTAATTTTATATAGTTCAATAGCAGAGTCAAAAAGGGAAGTGCTTTTTAAGCTGCTTATACCTTTTTGGTACACTGAGATCTTTTCATAAGGTTATGTGTCTTGTATATTACTTGAAGTCAATTTCATAGAACATTACTTCTAGGAACTGTGTGCACAAATCATAAGAAAAGTTTAAAGAAGTAGAAATCACTGAAGATTTAACAAGTCAACAAAGACAATATAAAAGATAAGCCTTAACCCTTAAAGTACTGGGTAGGTTTGAAATAGAAATAAGATAATGGCTTTCCAAGTGAGCATAATAACATGAACAAAAGCATGATGGCAAGAAATAAAACAGAGGTGTAATATATACTACAGTATGGTGTAAAGAAACATTGTTTAGAACAGAACTTTGTAGGGTATTTTCATAAATGCCCTCTGGTAAGAAATTATCATTCTTGGTAAAAAAAAGCATAAAACATTCTGGATGAATTTTAATAAGCTTAGAAAAACTCTTCTGGGAACTTAATTTATCTACCTACTCAACTGACAGTCAAGAGTCTAAAGAGCTTTAACCAAATATTCTTTTCTTGCTTTCTCTAACCATTCTTGCTTTTCTATAAATGTCTCCATCAAGAAAGGAATCTTTGAACTGGCCTGCTTAATTTTCATACCTCACAGTAAGCCTGAAATAAAACTTTCACATGTTCTCATGACAAAATATCTTAAAAGCTTTTTTTTAACAATTGAAAAATATAATTATCAAATCAAAGAGTTGTATCAAAGTCACAATTTTTTAGTCAGAAGGAATTTTAACCAAAATAAAAACAAGAAAGGCTAAGAATGTTCACAATGGAAAGAAAAAAATCTAATAAAAAAAATAATACACCCTGAAAGCCCAAGGAAGGTGAAAGGAGTTAAGAAACAAATGGTTTGCTTTAGGGAGGTTATATTTTGATTCAAAATAAATCTGACAATATTTTGAAGAACAGCAGCACTGTAGAAAATACAAAGAAGTTCAGAGCTGAGAAGAAAAGAATTTAAGATGTTTTTCTGGGTATTAAAATTAGATTCTTAGGCTGGGGCTGGGGCTCAAAGGCAGAGTGCTTGCCTAGCATGCATGAGGCACTGGGTTCAATCCTCAGCACCATATAAAGTAAAACAAAGCATAATAACATGAACAAAAGACATTGTGTCCACCTATAACTAAGAAAATTTTAAAAATTAGATTCTTACTGGGGATTAAACTCAAGGTCTTGTGTAAACACACACTCCCATCACTGAATTATACTTCTAGCCCCTCAAAATATATTCTTCTTTTCCCCCAAAGAATATTAATATTTATTTGACAATAGCAGAACACTGCAATGGCAATAGCAAAGCCATACTGGTACTGCATGTGTCATAGTGAACTATGGGTACTCTCAAAGAAGTTGAGACAAGGGGAAGTTTTTAAGGACAAAAATGAGGAGAATCACATTAACTATTTTGAAACAATAATCTTTGAGGTTGAACAGAAGCTGCTGAGCAAAAGTCATTGTAGAAGTATTCTCTTTTTTTAAATACATGACAGTAAAATGCACTCAAAATACATTCTTAATCATATATCAACTGGTTGACATTCAGTAGTCACATGGTATAAAGGGCAAGGACAAATACATCTTAAGTACATACTAAATGACATGAAAAAAAAAGATAATTTCCCCATGATATTAAGAAGCAGAATGCTGAAACAGAGACAAAAAGAGCCACATTTTGTTTTTGAATTTGTTTTTATGATGGGGTCTTGATATGTTGCTCAGACTGGTTTTATTTCCACTGAGCCACATCCCAACCCTTTTTATTTTTCATTTTGAGACAGAGTCTTGCTAAATTGCTAAGGATGGCTTTGACCTTATAATCTTCCTGCCTCAGCCTCCCAAGTTACTGGGATTACAGGCATGCTCCACTGTTTCCAGCATGCAGACTGATTTTGAACTTGTGAGTTCAAGTGATCTTCCCACCTCAGCCTCCCAAGTAGCTAGGACCATAGGCACCATATCTGGCAAGAGCCAAGATTTTGTTTTATATATTGACTTATAGATATTTCTAGAATATATGCCTAAGAATTGAATATCATCAATATGTTCTCTCCTATTAGGATACACGACTGGGATTTAAATTTTTTAAAAAATTGTTTTCTCTGATTTATTGATATCTTTTATGTGAAACAGTGAACAAAATTAAATCTAAGTTTAAAACACAATAGTGCTCTTGATGATCACTAAATACTTACGATGGTCGATCCTCAAGAATCAAGGCAGTGGTAGAAAGTGGCTCAAATTCAAAATTCTTTCGTCTTGAAGACTGAGGTGGTGGTTTACAGGTCCTCCCTGTTCGTGCTTCATACTCCTATGGTACATGAGATATAGTTTATGTAGAGATTTTCTCGATTTTCAGTTCATATTATTAAATCTGTATCATTAAAGATATTATAATAAAAATATATATGTCACAGATGATTTTGTAAAAATATCAGGAAGCTAAAAAATAAGTCATATTTTTCCTGAAGCAACCTAAATTATGAATTTATTTTACATACAAAGTATCAAAGTGTGTAAGGAGAAGAAAAGATAGAAATAAACTCAATTAGGAAAAGATTTAAGGACATGCTTTTTATTATCTTCTATGGTATCAAATATCCAAGTCCAGCTTTCAATAATCTGTAAGGAAATAAATCTATTTTCTAAAGCTTTAGTCAAATCAACCATGGGAAAGTTGAGATAGAATACAGACAATTCTGCTGTAATATTTTGAAAAGCTTTCTTCAGGATAACACTGAACCTCAAATAAAATGGTGGTTTTGGATTTTAACCCTCTGTGCACCTAACTACTATGAATATACTACTTACTCCATATTTTACACTTTACCACACATTTTATCCAAAAATATGGCCCAAAACTCTGTCAAACAATTAACTAAAACTAAGAAACTTTCTATAATGTTTCTCTAACTCACTGAAACTGATAATCCTATTAAAAGAAATAAATTAACATAATATGCTCTTTTTTATTTTTATTTTCTTTAGTGGTACTGGGTATTAAACCCATGGGTGCTTTACCACTGAGCTACATCCCTAGGCTCCCCCTTTATATTTTGAAAAAGGGTCTCGTTAAATTGAAAAGCCTGGCCTCAAACTTACAGTCCTTTTGCCTTAGCCTCTCAAGTCACTGGGATTCCAAGCATGCACCACCAAGCTTGCCTCTCCCTCCATTCCTTGGAAAAGGATGGTTATTTATTCTTAGCATATAAGATTTTGTTTTTGTTTTTGGCAGTGCTGGGGATCAAACCCAGGACCTCGTGCATTCTGGGCAAGTGCTCTATCACAAAAGCACATCCCCAGTCCCATAATATGTTCTTGATGAATGCATTTAAATTTTTCCATTTGAGCATTCTTTCATAAATGTTCATAACTTTATGAAATTTATGTTCCAAAGATCAGTAACAAATATACTAGCTTGGAATTTACAGAACCCACTCTTCCCCTTCTAAAAAACCAAGTGAGCATCTGATTATCAATGGGTACCAATGATATTTTTCATGAAATTCTCAAAGATTATTCAATGATTTTATGAGTCACACAAGTTGACTAGAGGTTTGAGACGACATTAATATATATGAAGAAAATGGTAAGATGTTTAATTTATTATGTTACTTAACTACCATGGCCTATAATTATTTTTATTCTAGTATTACATCTTCTCCATCTCTAGTATTACATCTCAAAGACTATTTCTCCCTGCTAATCAAACAATTATAAAATGTGAATCGATGGCTCTATCCCTCTTAAAAATTTAGTGAAATTGATGGGGCTGGGGTTGTAGCTCAGTGGTAAAGTGCTTGCCTAGCACATGCGAGGCCCTGGGTTCGATCCTCAGCACCACACACACAAAAATATATAAATAAAATAAAGGTCTGTGTCCAACTACAACTAAAAAATAATTTTAAAAAAATTTGGTGAAATTGAACCCTAATCTTATTTGAGATAAACTGTTTTTAAATGACTTATGTTTTCTTAGTAATTCTCTATGAACTTCATCTTACTTTGTGATGCTACCCACTGTTTATAAAGGATTGTATTATAGTTTAACATTCACCTTTAGTTCTGTATCCCTGCTTCCATTTATTAAGTCTATACTCAATTAATCTGAGAGTTCCCTTGCTTAAGTACACTGATATTTCTCCTTTCTCAAATTATTTAGAATTATATGTGCCCAAGTTTATGAGCACTTATTACAAAGAACCATACAGCCGTTCTGAGTCAAAAGTCATAGGGTCATTTTTTTTTCTTTTACAATTTTCTTTCCTAACATTGAGGATATATTCCTAATGTTCAATGTTTGTTTTTTTCTTTACCAATTTCAGAGTAACAGATTCTTGTTCTGCTATTAATATAGAATGTTATAATTCAAATTCTGTATAATTTAAATAGTACTTTGGTTTCCTACATTGTGACTCAGTTTCACTGAATTCAATGCATATTATCCAATTTGGCAAACAAGTGCCAAATACATACACAGCAAATTGAACTTCTAATTAATATATTAATATTAATAGCAACTAGTACTTACTCACACTATGTATCATACACTGTAAACACTTAGCACATTTAATTCTTAACCCTATCAGACACCTCAAAGTAAAGGAAAATGGGTACACTCACTTGCTGAGTATGTCATATGTAGCAGACAGTCTACTCCAGGGCCTGGCTTTCAAATATTTACTATCTTGCTATATTAACAGTGAAGTAACCATTTATGACAATTAAGAATAAAGAGACTGACAGAAATCATTCAGTGAAAGACTCAGAGGAACTGGGACTATGAGGTTTAGCTGAATGGTGAAGCACCTGCCTAGCATATGTGAGGGGTTCAATCCCCAGCACCAAAAAAAAAAAAAAAAAGAAGCATGTGGCTGGACAGTAGCTCAGTGGTAAAGTGGTAAAGCCTCACATGTGTGAGGCACTGAGTTCGATCCTCAGCACCACGTAAAAATAAAGAAGTAAGAATTGTTATGCATTCTGCTGTCATATATAAATTTAAAAATAAATAAAGATATTGTGTGTCCATTTACAACTTAAAATATATTTTAAAAAGTAGCAGCAGCAGAAGAAAAACTCATAGCTCAAAGATATGAATCAGGCTGACAATACTCGAATCACTGATCCATCTAAATATTACAAAGAGAGACCATCAGGCAGTATGTGTGTTTCCTGTAAGATGTAATATGAAATACCCATCACCAATTCCTGAAATATTCTTAACAACAACAAAAATTCAAACAAATAACATTAAGCTGATAAGTTGGAGAATTGTGTCCTCCAACAAGATAGCCAAAAGAAATAACCAAATTAAGCCATACATATTCTGTGTAAATAATTCACAGGAAAACATGAAGTAATTAAATTATTAATAGGTTTTCCTTTGAAAAGGCTGGATTAGAAATGAAAGGCACTTGTTTAACTTATTCAGTATTACTGGACATTAGTTACAACAAAAAAATGATATAATGTGTAAGAGATCACTCATGGTTGGTAATGGACAAAGTTCTTAATAAAAGGGTGGGATCAGAACTAGGGCAAAAAATGATGAATGTTATTTAAATATGTAGAAAATATTGAAATGGAACCCGCAAAGGGCAACATGAAAAGGCATAGATCAGGGAAACACATTAATCTTACTGAATAGGAAAAATGGGAAAATAAGATTGGAAAGGTATAGGTTAAATAATAGGAGCCTTTCATTTGCAAAAATATTTAGACAAAATTCATCATGAACAAACTAGAGAAAAAAATGAAAGTTTAGGAAAAGCAAAGCTTTGATGAAAATAGCCTGTCATAAAAAATTAACAAAGTAAGTACATATTTAATATAGAATGCAACTCAAAGTGAAGCAGCTAGAATATCATTTTATGTATCTACCTGAAGAATGACCTTTGTATACACAGAACTGCCACTCAAACATTTCACATGAAATTCAGAAGTTGAGGTCTACCATTTCCAAACATATATGCTTACAAAAAAATACTAGATTTCTAGAGGGCAATAATTTAAAACATAAAAACATGGTATTAATTCATTGTTATCTGAAAATTATTTAAATCCTTGAGTAGCTCAAGTATTTGCTGAATAAATTAAGATACCATTCTAAGGTGATTAGAATTGTGAATTATTTCAGAAATAGTAAAGTATCAAATACCAGCAATTTCAAAATTAATTACTATTTATTAACTGAAATGATTTTATTACAAATAACAGAAAATCCAACTTAAACACGTTCAGGTGAATTCATCAGATATTAGGACTAAATATTCCATATGGTTAGCTATAAAACTTTGGAATTTTTTGACTAAGGTGTACAAGTACCAGAGTCTTTGCTTCTCTAGTATTCTCTCAGGAATGCACTCTATCATATTATTTGAATATATGATTAAAAATCTAAATAAGTTTTCACATACATTCCTAAAACTTATATGTGCAAATTGGCAAAAAGGGGAAGGGGACTACAAGTGTGGTGCAGTGATGGAGCACTTGCCTACCATGGGCAAGGGTTGGAATCCCAGCATTGAAAAACATTTTTTTTTCTTCAGAAACAGAGTACAGACTTTTGCTTAGTGAACTGGGTAATTCACACCAACTTTCTCACTGAAGACAACCTCTGCGATTCCTGACAAAGGGGATACAAGGTAAGCTTAATGATCATAATTATTGTGTTGTCTGGTGGCAATTCTGGTGGGGTTCTTCTTCTTCTTCTTTTTTTTTTTGTCTTTTATTTTTGGGAAGGACCCCACACACACACCTTTTTTGTAGAATTCGTGGAATTCTTTGTCTTTTCTGTTTTGGTAGTAGAGGATTGAACCCACGGCTTTGCAAATGTGAGACAAGTCCTTTGCTGCTGAGCTACATCCCAGCCTGCTGGTGGCAATTCTGAAAATCAGTATTGGAAGTGGGAACTCAAATAAAGCTTACTGTTTGGAAAGGCAAAGGGTACTAGAATTTTTGACACAAAATAGCAAAAAAGAAATCCTTGAATTAAGAAAAAAACACCAGAAAATGATCTAGCAGTTCTATTCCATCTTTTAGCTGAATACCAACCTATGTATGTAAAATGTGAAACACTACAAAGCTGGGCCAAAAAAAAAAAAATTCGGGGGCAAAAATAATTATTGAGGATCTGTGACCCAACAGTTCTCAGAGCTCATTCAGGGCTACAAATTATTCACATTGTCATGAACCAGAATGGAAAGTCATCACTGAATATAGAGGACACTCAGAAAACAAGACCCTCCAGAAAGTTTGTTTGCTGAATATAAGACACTGTAAATTTTAGATTGTTGAGTACTAAGTAATGTA